CGCGCGCGCGGGCTCGCGTACAGCAGGGGATGACGAAGTGGCACTGTCCGCGAGGGGGTGACTCTTGGGCAGCTCAAGGCGACTCGAAGTTAAATCCCGGTTTCCGGTCCCCGACCGACCCAAAATCCGAAGGATTTTGGAGAAAAATAATAAATATAGTCAGTATTTTGGCCAAAACGTCCCGCTTTTGGGTCATTTGGAGCACTCCATGAATTGCATGACTCCGACGGTGAGTCCGTGTCGAACGGGTGCCTTCTTCGCTGGGCAAAAGCGCGGCCAGTGCGCACAATACCTACCTAGTCTCCTCTCGTACGGACGGTACCGTATCATTGGCTCCACGGTAGGTAGTAGCTACTTGTACAGCGCACGCCGTACAGGTTGTACTCTAGAATGTAGGTACGGTAGTACTGTACGTACCTGTAGGTAACTACCGCACCTAGGTACTAACGTCTGTAGTATGTACCGTGAAGTACGTACTACCTAAGGCGGGTCGAATTCAATTCCCGGGTTCCGGTCCTACCCCCTTTTGGGTGGGTCGGTCGGTCGGGAAGAAATAATAGTTGGTTTTTTGCTAGTATGTTTGAAATATGAAATAATATGGGATGTTTTTGGGGCAAATACTTCCTTTCTTGGCCCAGATTTCAATGCTGGTGAGTCGGTTGCATGCTGGTGAGCCGGTTGCATGATCGGCACTGGGCAGGCTTGACTCTTGGGCCTTGCCGCCATCTCCTCGACTAGCGTCAAAATGACTCGGAATTGGCCGGCACACCGGCCCGGCGCCCGGTTCGCTAGTGGTGTGATCACTGATGATGGCTCCGAGTCGGTCCGATCAAAACGCAGCGCGGAGAATTCGCCGTCGAAGCCACACGGCTGGGCCCGTCACTGCCCCGGTCGGCCATGAGCCGCCATACCACCTCAAGCCTAGTACCTGCTGTACTGTCGTAATCATTTTGGACAGCTAGGTTTACGGATGACGTGAGACAAGTGTACGGGTCGTACCTCTATTTAATATAGGTAATGTGACAACGTCAGACTCCAAGCTAGGTAGAGCGACCCTTCCTGAGTGGGAGTGAGCAGCGG